TAATAATAATAATAATAATAATAATAATAATAATAATAATAATAATAATAATACAACAAGAATTAAGCTAGAACACATTGTCCTGTTTATGTGTTTTTGTTGTTGTGGAGCACTTAGTTGACGTAGCTTACTTCTTCCTCAAAGGTCATCATTATTTCCCCTTCTCTGTCGCCGGAATACACTCACAGTTCTTTATCCTTTAATTTTTCTACAAAAAAGAAGGCAGAAGTGTTAGTTCCTATGATCCAGTGCTTTTCCTATGGTAGGGTTGGACCCTCATCTTAAAGCAGTTTAGCAATTTTCCCTCTTCTCTCTCTCTTGCTCTTTTTAACTCCCAGTGAGCACATGCCATCAACAACATTTCTCCAGCGAAGCCTGTCATGTCCATCCTTTTCTAGCTGTTTCCATGATGTCCTCACGTTTTCCATTTCCGCTTGTACCGCTCGCCTCCTTGTCTTTTTTTGGTCTTCCTTTCTTACGTTTTTCTTGTGGATTCCTCGTCAAAGCCTGTCTAATGATGCTTGTCGGGGGTCTCCTCAGGGTGTGCCCAATCCATTTCCATTTCTTCACCTGTTTGTCTTCCTTTACTGGCTTTTGGCTTGTTCTTTCCCACAGTTGAGCATTTGTGACTCGATCGCACCACTTGATCCCCACTATCCTTCTTAGACGTCAATTTATGAAGCTCTGCAGTTTCCTTGCTGCTGATGCTGTGAGCCTTCATGTCTCTGAACCATATAGTAGAACTGTCTTCACGTTGTCGGCTTTCACCACCCTACGTCATTCTACACTCTATTTTCTCTCTTCTCTCCGGTAGTGAAGGTCCTCCATCTTCCAGAACTGGCAGTCGTGTTGTTTTTGCTGTTGATTTTTTTGTAGCTGTTTTTCGTTTTACGGGAAAGGGTTGCTAACCCTTTGCTCAACCGAACTTAGTCGCCTTCTACGACATGCGCGGTACGGATACATTGGTCCTATACTTTGCTCCCCTGTCTCTTGGACACCTCGGATAAATCGGGCCTCTGCCGTCAGGGGTGTAGCATTTAGGCGCTTGGACGTCACATGCAGAAGACTCGAGTTCCATTCTCGTGTTGGGAGAAATCTATTGAGAATCTTTCTGAAGGGACGTTGTATCATTCACCCCCCCCCCCCGACTCGCCACCATTTTATGATCGACTCTCCCACTGCCAACACCATTTATTTATCATCCACTCCTGTCACATTTTATCATCCACTCCTTCACTTCTATTACCATTTCTTCATCTTCCCCATCATGATTTTATCATCAACTCTTCTACCATCCCGATTTTATAATTCACTCTCTCACCATTGTATCATTCACCCCTAACCCCCATCACCTTCACCCTTGTACCATCCGCCTTCTTACCCGTATCACCACTTTATCATCCACTCCCTAATCCCCGTCACCATTTTATCATCCACTCCTTTACCCCCATCAACATTTTATCATCCACTCCTTTACCCCCATCAACATTTTATCATCCACTCCCTTGCCTCATCACCGCTTTATCATCCACTCCTTAACCCCTATCACCTTTAATTTATCGTCCACACCACGCCCCCA